CAACAGAAGTGTGGGTCTTACTACAAAGTAAAGATTGTAAAAAGGAATAATATAAAATTCTTATGTGGTACTGGTATTAGTATTACGTACAAATCACACAAGTTTATCATTCTAAATACTGAATCATATTATTGTTACAAACTAAATACAAAATTACGCTAAATTATTGAACTTAAAACTACAAATATAAATGCAAAAGAATATAAAAATCACAAACTCTTTCATTTCAAAGTGCTAAGCTTAATTCATGTAAACATCTTGCACTCGCCATTCGATAGTTCTTAACCCTAACAATCGTGGACAAACTTCTTTCCTTAAAATATATATCTATTTTGAATTAATTTTTCAATACAATGATTAATATAAATAGTTATACGATGTAGCATGACTTAAGCTACTATAGAAAAATAATAAAAGTCACGTACATCCGATGCAGTTTTTTCCAGAAGCAAGTTTTCTAACACTTATAGCGAAGTACTATTAGCCAATACTAACTACAACCTCTACATAAAATGGCAGATACTATAATAAGCACCACCCACATTCATACTGTAAAATCCAGAGAACAACGTTTCGTCATGTGCTTGCTTATTATCCTATTATTTGTCAAACGTGAAATACAGCTATTGGAATAACATGGTACTGAAACTTACACCTTCGACTAGGATTGGCTAAAAGTTTTACAACTGAGATTTAACACGCCCAGACGCTGTTTTATAAAAAAAACAGACTAGAAAAAGATTTAGGTACCAATCATAGATGGCAGGACCAGTGCTGAAGTGGAAGGAAAATTTATTTTTAATTTTTGAAAAAAAATGGTCTTCTTAGAGGGCGCTTATTTACAATCTCAAAGGTGTTTTAGGATTTTTTGTTATTACATTTCTCTTTAAACTTCATTAAACAATATAATTTTGTACAAATAATTGAATGTTATACTACTGTTTACAAAAATAAAATCTGAAACCCAATAAAAGATAAGTTCTCTATAATTTTTTCAATTCACAAATGTGATTTTGCCCTCACGATAGAACAAAATGTCCCCAGTAGGTAAGGAGTTAACGGAGTGGTTGTATTTGACCGTCAATCTTATAATGCACCCAGAAGGAGCGCGTTTTTTGTGTGTGTGTATGTGTGCTTGTTTATTTAATTTTTTTGTTTTTATGGCAACGAGCCAGGGATAATCGGATCCACAGTTCGGCACACTAACTACTGGCCACGTCCGACCCATTTCTATAGTCAGTATGATATCTCAGACATAAGTAACACCACAGCACAGTACACCAGATTCACAGGATTAGATTAGTTGCTGGAACAATTTTTCATGAATGCGCAAAATAAGTAGTTAAAGAAAATAAACTGACGAAATTTCGATGCAAAAAAGGGTCTTAACAATTCTAAATTTAAATAATAATTTCACTGCCATGCAACAGTTTGCTCACTTTTATCCATTAAATCAAAACATTTAAATTATGGAATAGAATACAGTTACACACTTGAAAGAGCGGTGTCCAGTCGTACACTGCGTTGTGTTATTGCCAAGATGATAATGCTGAACTGGAACTTTTGCTGTTGAAAAATCTGTTTATATCCTAATTTTACATAATATGCTGCACACAAAGTCAGAAAATAGACTTTTAGATAACATTCAAAATGAAATGAAAAAATCTGCTTTTATAAGTTGTATAAACAGTTCTTTCTTTTATTTTTAGGTTGGTTCATAGCTCATGATTTATAAAATTCACCACAGCCTTACAGGATTTATAAGCCACACCTACCACAACACATCCATTCCCTAGTCCAAACGTGACAACTAATCAAGCAAAGTAACTTGGCAGAAATGTAGACATGGAAGCTGAATTTTGAATGAATCCTCCACTGTGAAAACAGACAGACAAATAAAAGTTTTAAAAATGAATTTTAAACGAATAGTTGGATATCAAGTAAGATTCAATGCGTGTTAAATGAGCTACATTAACCATTTTCCCATGATAAACGTTAAGATAACCATGATTTTACGTAACACAAACACACTACTGAAACTGACATTTTTGAAACTGCTAAACATATCAAATACGTGTGTTAAAACTAGCTTTTTTTCTGCATTACTTCTCAATTTCACTATTATTCTGATATAAATAAAGAGAGACTTTCTTTGTTGCTGCTTGACCAATAAACGTGCACGCAGCCCTCACGAGTTAGGCAAACAAACAAATCACTAACTAAGATCACTTACATTTTTTTTTGTATATGTTGAAGATCAAGCAAACTTTTGTCTACTGATATGCAAGCTGGGCCCGGCATAGCCAGGTAGTTAGGGCGCTGGACTCGCAATCTGAGGGTCGCGGGTTTGAATCCCCGTCCCACCAAACATGCTTGCCCTTTCAGCCGTAGGGACGTTATAATGTGACGGTCAGTCCCACTATTCGTTGGTAAAAGAGGGTGATGTGACCACCTGCCTTCCCTCTAGTCTTTCACTACTAAATATGGGACAACTAGCGCAGATAGCCCTCGTGTAGCTTTGCGCGAAATTCAAACCAAACATACAAGCTGTCACCCTCGAAGCGCATTAATGTTTTTATTAAATGTATTCGAAAGTGAAAATACAATTTCACTTGATCACATTATTACAATGCCTAGAAATAAAGACTTTAATAATTTTTCGGTCATTAAAAAAGGAACACCGGAACAGGTAAATCCTACTTAAAACGCAATAGGTATATAGAGATTAAAACGATCTTCTTTGAGATAGCTGTAATGGCAATCATGCAGGGATACCAATTCTCTTCAAAGATGAGGAAAAAAGATGGCTGATTTCCAAGTGTGATTGTTATTAAATGCAAAACTACACAATGAAATATTTATGCTGTGCCCTCCACGGATATCAAAACTCTATTTTTAGCGTCATACGCCAAGAGACTTGCTGTTAAGTAAACAGAGCTTATATTGGTTCATAAAAAATATTATGATTGGTTTTTATGACGTTTTTTCAGCTGTATATTTTACCCATTATAAAAGTGTTCGTTGTTGTGAGGTAGGGCGGGTGATAACTTAGAATGGGAGCCTGATTTTAAAGCGCTGGCTTATTAAACTACCCTGTATTCTTTAAAATATAATAAGATATTATATATATATTCCATTAGGCGCTTAGTACATCATGTTTTCGCTTAAAACTTGGACTTTCAAACCAATTCCACTGGTGGAGATGCTCGTATGATGACTTATCACTTGTTACATTGATACTTATGAAATAATACATAATACTACTTTTAATTTTTTAAATTTCTATATATATATATATATTTATTTACATATTTTGACATACTTTGTTGAAACCTATAGTTAAAATACCAACTTTTCTATTACAGTGCTACCGCTCCACCAATATAGTATTTGTAAACCACTTTTTATATTTTCATATGCACGTGTACTGCATTTTTATTTGTGTTTTTAAGTCTGTTTCTTAATCGTATTTCGAGCTATATTATAATTTAATCGTGCTCTCCCGACAACGAAATGTTCACAAATGAAACATATTTTAAAACATCGTTTTTCTGAAGGCAAAGCATATAATTTACTCTTTTGTTGTTGTTTGTTATTAAGCACAAAGCTAATGATCTATAGTAATTGTTTTTTATTGTTATATGCCTTGTAATGTAACGTTTTTTATATAGTTTGTGATCTATAGTAATTGTTATTGATGTAAGGTGACTTGTCTAGTCATAACTTTAATTAAATTAGTTTTATGTAATAAACATGGTCGATATATTTACTATATACTATGTAAATTTAGAGTGAATGTGTGGAAAAAGGTTATTACAAGTCATAAGTATAAAGATGTTCTTGCACATAATAGCTTATTACCAAGAGGCAGAACATACCGTTAAAAAAGTTCTTGAAGGCAATTCGTGAGCTCCCCTCATAAAACAGGAGTAAATATCTGTATTTTTGGTACATGATCTCTACGTATACAAAGAGTCTTATTATCTAATATTTAAATGAAATGCATTAAGTTTGCGTGAATTATCTTAGCAAACCGAGATTAGAATAATTAGTCACCATTCTTAGTTACCACCCGCCCTACGTCACAACAACGAATACTTTTATAAAGTGAAGATAATGGGTAAAACATACAACTCAAAATACGTCATAAAACCCAATCATAATATCTTTCTGAACCAATATAAGCTATGTTTAATTAAAGGGCTAAAGGCAATTGTAAGAATAAATTAGGTCTACAGTGGCCCAACGGTAAGTCTGAAGACTTATAACACTAAAAGCCGGGTGTCGATACCCGTGGTAAGCACAGCACAAATAACCACATGTGACACTATATAAAAACGTTACATTACAAGGCATATAACAATAAAAAACAATTACTATAGATCACAAACTATATAAAAACGTTACATTACACGGCATATAACAATAAAAACAATTACTATAGATCACAACTATATAAAAACGTTACATTACACGGCATATAACAATAAAAACAATTACTATAGATCACAAACTATAAAAACGTTATATTACAAGGCATATAACAATAAAAAACAATTACTATAGATCACAAACTATATAAAAACGTTACATTACAAGGCATATAACAATAAAAAAACAATACTATAGATCACAAACTATATAAAAAACGTTACATTACAAGGCATGTAACAATAACAAAATGCACAATTAAATATCACAATATTAAAGTAATTTTCCACATAATAATTTGAATTATTAGTAGGAATTATTAACAGAAGAGTTTATGAACAAACACATTTTGTTGTTGGCCACTTCCAGTGACAGCTCGGCTGTAATTTGCATGAAGATGGTATCTTTATGTTATTGTAGTCTTTTTTTAACATCTACTGGAAAGAGATTAATCACGGTAATTACAAAAAATCGTCCCACTTATATTTGGTGCGTTATGATTTACTGAAAAGCTATCACCCAGTCATTTGCGTTGCTTACAAGTTTCTTTGTTCTTTAGACAAGAAAGATACATTTCATACTCTTTCAAATTTTGAACAGAAACATATCATTAAAGATGTTATTACAAATGTTGTTTAAATTTATATGTAGCTTATCTATACCAGTCTACTCAGCATCTCCATTCAATTAACGTTGGGATTAATATTATCAAAATAATACAGAATTTAAGTGCATTATATTAAAACAATTTTGGAGCCTCGTCACGTCGTTACAGTCTATGTCACCACGTCTGGTCATCCTCTATCTAACGATCCTGTGCATCTTGGTAATAGCCCTTAAGTTTCAAGCGCAGAATGCTCCATTATTAGGTTGTCATGTTCAAAACAAACCTGCATGTATTCCATTTATCCATCTAGTGTTCGAGTAATGGTTTTGCACGCCAGTTTCAACAGCCCCACCACACAGAAATACATAGGCGCTGCAAGCAGCAACTTGACCTATTTGTCTTCGTATGGAATAGCATGACTTTTTCATTTTCCAACTGCTTAAAATATGCGACGGTTGAACCGACATGTTGTACACGTGACTTGTTCACTTTTCTAGACGATTATCCTTCTTGATTATATTGCATAGTATTGCCTGGGGCACGTGGATCACTTTTGCTACTGTTCGTGAATTTTCACCCTTTACAAGACGTTGCACATTGTTTACCACGGCTAAGATACGACTTGTTACAGGTCTCTTATTGATGATTCTTAAACCCTAAGTTGATCCATATTCCTTTGATTTCCAATGTCTTTTGTTATAGGGATGTCCTTGTCTTGGAAATTCCAAATTCCTGATCTGGTTCAGTAGTGAAATTCTGCTGGTACTCACCGCTAATGAGTATCGGAACATATTTTTAAGGCGGTACTAGTACCAGGATTTATTTGAGCTGTTTGTCGTTTTTTATGTTTATACGTGGATTTTTTTTTTCAAAAACAAGTCCACTTCAGCTAGCTGAGTACCTCTACTTTTTTTTTGAAGGTTTCACCCCTGATCTGGGTGTATGAATATTTTGCGTCTGAAAGGGCTGCTACATACCCTTCCTTAAAGCGATAAGTTTTCGGTGGCATCGCACTATCTATGAAACGGCAAACAGTATCAAAATGTAGTTCTGATACATTTAGTACCACCGTGAATTTATATAGTTACCATGTGACTTGCTGGTTTGCATATTCAAAATCGTTTTGATATAACGTTCCCAACCTTTCGCATCTCACAAAGAAAAGTATAGCTTCACATGGTGCTGTTTAATCAAATATATCTGTGTGAAAAAGAACTACTTTACCTAGAAAAAAAACAACCAAAATACTCTCGCCGACTTTCACTTACCACCGACATTGTTTTAAACTAAAGTACTTCTTTCCAAACACATTGAATAATGTCTTCCTTCATCCACAAAGCTATTATTCTGGCATGCATGAAAATCTAAGTTATCAAAGACAGCCGTCACACAAAGAGTTTGACGTCAAGTCACTTTCTGCAACTGCGTGAGGTTCATAGTCAGTTTATTATTCAGGAATTTTCTTTTTTTTTTTTGGTATGAAAGAGCAACTTTCCAACATATACAACAAAGGCCTTTAACAAAATATACCGACTATTTTTGTTCACTGATTAATACTTTTTTGTACATAACGAAACCGTGGTATAAGCGGATTATCATCGCGTCTCTATTACTTATCGACAATACTAAAGAAACTTAATATAGAACGTTAATTAAGCAGGCATAATATACAATACGGCTTTAGATAAATTCTATGAAAAAGTCGTGTACATACATTTTGAAATGCTCACATTCATGAATATTAGCCAACTTTTATACATTTTTAACAATACCATTTTCACAAAATTAACTTTTATATGGTCAGAACTAATATCGTATGTGCAGCCCTACTGCGCGATGCTATAATGTCTAAGAAATGTTTTAATATGATGTAGGCGTAGGAAGACAATTTTTTGGAGGGTAAAGGCTATTTAGGTGCACTTTTCCGACAAAAAAAAAGTGATATACACTCAGCAGACTCAAACACAAGTTATATTTTAGTTATAAGCAAGACGAAATCCTCAATAGCCGCGGCACTTGAAATTATTTTAGGCAGAATTAGAATTAATCTATGAGACTTTGGGCATAGTCATATGCATCATTCGAAAGGGTTTGATCTCCTGAGTCTGTAATTAGATTTCAAATCGGTCAAGAGATGACGGAGCTATTAGCTAAAAGTTTGTACTTGAAAAAACAAACAAACTCAGAGCCGTTCTGTGAGCCACTATGCCGCAGCTAATAATGAGAATAACGAATAGGAACACTTTTTGCAAGTGTACTAATTATGTAGTCAACTTCACTAATGAATATTTCACTGTGAACTTTCATTCAATGTTGCATAATTCCAGTGAAGTTAGAAAATCGTATTAATTTTGCTTATAAGAATGATATTTTTGACGCTTTTTCTGAGAAAGACGTTTTTGAATAAATGGACTAATGCAAACAAAATGCGATGATCAAACTTACTAAATAGAAACAATAACATAATATTTATAAATAAATATTTATATTTCTTTCTTACGTGCAATGATTGCTCAAATATCGCGTTAAAATTATTACAATTTCAATAAATAAATGCATAGAAATTGGCGAAAATTTATATTTTTCACATTTTCCCCTACAGTATATATTCTAACAAACATGATTTTTTCCTAACACATAACGGGAGGGGGACGATCCCCCACCTAAGCACCCTCCTGCTACAACTATGGGTATTTCACTGGCCTTTTTATTACGCAACACGCTATACTTGCATTTAATTTATTCTGACTTCCAATATAATAAACCATGGCCAGTGATTATATGAAAAGACTGTAAAAATATGGCTAAAATTTCCCCATCTTAACTTGATGAATCTTTACTTTTCACTAAACTGAGAGCCCCCAGTGGCACAGTGGAATTATACTGCTAGAAACCGGGTTTCGATACCCGTGATGGGCAGAGCACAGATGGCCCTTTTTGTAGCTTTGTTCTTAATAACAAACAAACAACAACTAAACTGAGTCGATGTGTAGGTTGCAAACTTGAAACGTTCCAACATATAGCGTATATAGCGTAAATGGAGGGATATCCTGTAGGTCTGTACCTCCTACTTTAAGTTAGATTATAAAAGTGGCATTTTCAGTTTTTGTTTCTTGGACTTCAACAAACAATATTAGAATAACCGTGTATCTCTGTGTGCGAGTGATTAGGTAACGATATTTTGGACAACAACATAATATAAAAAAGTGTTACTTGAGGTGACATCCGACTTAAGTCAACATATTCATGTTACATAAGTTTTAGCAAAATTTTCGATGTTTTATCTTAAAAATAAAAACGACTGAAAGATTCTCTCAATTTTCTAATTATTTAATTATTACAATAAACATTTCAAAACTTAAATATTATAATTGCTCTTCATGCCCTGTTTTTAAGTTGTATTTCATAACTACATGTATTTAAACTTGCAGATTTGATAATTAACGAACTGCACTGTTTTGCTCCTTCAATCTCGGTTTAAGCCTATTGTTCAATAGACTTTCCTTTTTACGTTGTTTCTGTTCCCTATTCATTACACTCATTCAGCAAATGGTGCTTGTTGCTTGAAAATAATGAATCTTAAATTTGCATGTAATTTATGCGACTTATGAACCACCTAGTGGTAGGTCCAATATAACCTAATAACATTTGGGACATTTATATTCACGTAATATATTAGAAGTTTTAAAGATAACTATTCGATCCATATACTTATAGAAATACTGTAATTTGTAGACTTAAAACCATTCACTTTGATGGTATGCACGATGACGTAACAGGCGTAAATGGTTTCTAATAAGAAATGGCCTGTTTACCGGGTTCCCAGGGGGCCAGCAGTAAATTAACAGACTTAACACGCTAGAGTTTGGGTTTCGATTCCCCATGATAGATAGAGCGCAGAGAATCCATTATGTTCTTTTGCGCTAAAAGAAACTGTATACGGCATGACTAAAAAAATGGTTTTCGTTTAGCAACATTCCAAATAAGATTCCTGTCGTTTAAATAATCATGACTAACAGTATACATCTTTTTACGTCTTAAGAAATCCCAAAACAGTTTTTGATATTATAATCATTTAATTAAAGTTTTTCACAGCTTAAATAAAGCCTTGATAGTTCAAGATTATACGTACCAATGCAAGACACTTTTGGCTTAAAAGTACAATCATCTTTAGGAACCTTGGGAATTCCATATATGATACCAGCATATTAGTTTTCAGTCAATAAATTGTCCTTTTTTTTAAATTTTAATAAATATCTTTGTAATTTGTCTTGTCTATTGTTTTTAGATGAATCTTTATCCAATTTCACAAATTTAGTTCCATCACTTAAGATTTCTTTAATTTTATCAATGTAATCAGTTTTATTCAAAATAACTATGCTATTTCCTTTATCGGGTTTTATAATCACGGTATCTTCATTTGTAGTTAACCTTTATTAGGCCTGAAATTCCTCTTTGATTATATTAGTAGGTTTTCTTCAACAGTTAAAACCATTAAAATATCTTAAAGCAATGCCACTTATTTGAATTCTAATGTCATTAAAAGATTCACTGCTTTTCCGTCATATTATTTGTTTAGATAACTGCTGCAGCAAGTGTTCAAAATTCAATAGCTAATCCTTACGTTTAAATCTCTTTAGTGGAATGGTAAATTTTAACCACTGAACGACACAATTTTTCTATGTTATTTAAACCGCAACTGAAAAAATTACAAACGATCTATAAAACTCTTATTGTTGAATTTTCTTAACCTGTTTAATCTTTCTAAATGATTCTTGTAACATCTTAAAATACTTTTACTATTTTTTATTTATCCCTTTAAACAAATGATTATAATTTACTTTACTGGCTCGCTATTTTAAAAATTAGAACTTCTCTATTATTTTCGTTCAATTACTTTACCTTTTTTAGTTTTAATTTCGGAATTTAACACATATTTATTAAATTGTAAATACTGTGCGGAATAATGAAACTGAGAAATAGATGCTTTGAGCTTAACAAACTTAGATTTTTACATTGTTCCAGGAAGTGTAAATCCAACTTATTTTTTATCATATTTAAACTGAAACTTCTGTTTTTTCTGAATAGCGATAAAATAAACGATTATACATATTATTAATTGTTTGTTTGTAACTAAGCACAAAGCTACACAATGGGCTATCTGTGCTCTGCCCTCAACGGGTATCGAAACCCGGTTTCTAGCGTTGTAAGTCCACAGACATACCACTGTGTACACTGGGGGCATATTATTAATTGTTTGTTTGTAACTAAGCACAAAGCTACACAATGGGCTATCTGTGCTCTGCTCACAACGGGTATCGAAACCCGGTTTCTAGCGTTGTAAGTCCACAGACATACCACTGTGTACACTGGGGGGCATATTATTAATTACAGTAGCAATAGACTCATGTTTCGGAAATCTAAGATTTATGATGAGTTTTAATACTAAAAAAACTGCATAGAACAAAATACTATTTATATTAGTATGAATTACTTTACAGCTCCCAGTTTATAAAATTTAGAAATTTAAATTTAGTGCAGAGGTTAGAGATGCCAATCTGTCCGACCTCATTTTACCATTAACTTAAAATACTCAATTAGAAAAGGTACAAAATACGAGCAAACTAAACCATAAATGACTAATAGAGTTTAATCGATGCAAATGGGCTAGCTGAGACAAACCCTTCTGCTTGAAATTAGTTTTCCTTTTCCTGGCCCATTTTGTGAAGAAGAAAGAGAAAGAAAAACAATATTACGATACCAACTCTATAATTAAAGTCATTCACATAATTTATGATATAAAATATCACAATATCTAACGCATCATAAAATATTAACATAAATAACTAAAACCTCCCCTTTCGATATAATCACTAAGACAGGACAATAAAAACTTCCAACCTCTAAATAATTTCTGTTATTTAGTAAATAATTTAGATATCTCAGAATCTAATTTCCTATTCGATAATGGTGTATACTGATGATGTTGCTATGGAAACTAGATTAGCCCCCTCACTTGCTTGTTTGTTCTAAGCTATATTTTCATTTGTTTTAATTTACTTGTTTGCTAGAGAGAGAGCAACTAACATAATAATGACGCTGGATTTAGAACGTTTATAAAAGTAGTCCGAGAATATCCAGAATGTTCGTGGATGATAATAATCGAGGGACTTACCAAATATCTACAAATAAGAATGCATTATAACTACAAGAATCAGTGAAGCATTGAGTGTCAATTTGTTCAGTGATTGAAAAGTTAGTGAAATATTTAAATCATTGTCAGTTATCGAGTACATTTACTTATTCGATCGAAATTGTTTGTTGAGTAAGTCAAATAAAAGCATTTATCAAAAGCAGATCGGAAAACGGATTAACGTTTTAGGCTATTTATATCCGATATCTTGTGTAACTGATCTAATTCAGGCTCTGAAATAGATTCTTATACATCAACAGTTCTGTACTAGGAGGTTTGTGATCATGATGGATGTGCTATTCATAAGAAATAACTTTAAGAAATTGTTGGCTTGAAGAATATCCTTCTAAGTTTAAACCAGTATATTATAGAAAATATGCAGATGATACCTTTATTATCTTCACAAAGCTCAATTTGTAGGAAGCTTTTTAAACTTCAGAAACAGTAGACATCCTAATATTCAATTCACAGTAGATAACCAAGAAAACCATCAACTTCATCAATAAAAAAATATTTCATTAGTTTGTATTTCAACTTGAGCAGTTTTATACTATTGCCTTTTAAGAAAAATCTTATTAAAATATTGGTTAATTGGGCATATAAATTAACCAGTAAGTATGACGTTTTCCATAGAGATAGAAAATATTTAAATACGTTTACTAAAAAAGTTGCCTTTCCAATAGGCATTACAAATCATGTTATTCAAGCCGGATTATTTAAACGATAATAATCTTTGTACCCCACCTAATTGGAAAGCTGCTAAACAAAAAACATTTTTTTAGTCCTGCCATATATAGGAGAGACACGTTATTTTAATTAGAAACCAGTTATTCAAACAGTATCATCATGCATACCACCAAATTTAATTGAGATGTGTTTTTAAGCCTATATGCAGATCACAGTATTTCTTCAGGTATCAGGATCGAACACCTATCTTGAAAATTTGTATTGTGGTATATGAATTTAAATGTCCTAAATGTTCTTTAAGTTATATTGGAAGCACCAATAAGTTGTTAACCATTCGAATTCAAATTGAACTTTACGTCATTTTCAAACCTCACGAAAGAAACGTGCTGAATGAATGTATAATGAACTTATAAGTAGGGGCCAGTTAAAAACCCCCTCAAAAGGAAACAGAGAAACACTTGTGTAATTCATAAGTGAAATTTAAAGTAAGATTTAACAAACTATTCTCGTTTTTATTCTATAAACTACGTAATATTTTTGCGTGAAACTTACCTTTGTAATGTCGTATGTAAGAAGAACATATTTTCTGTCTTGTGATAAAAGGTATTTCTTGACATTGTATTGTCTCTGAAAAAAATTAAATGCCATATAATTTTCAAAGTTGTAAGCTCTCTAACATAAAAGTTGAAATGTATATATACATCGTGTGTATGTTTGTCTATATATATTACGAAAAGTATTGATTTAGCACACCAACCAGTAACAAACCTCTTCTTCGGGATTTGATTTTGAAATTCATTGTGTATTCTGCATAGATACTTAAAGATCAACAGATACTAATATGCTTCAATCAAGTTAGCCTACTGACCTTAAAAAATAAACTGTTAATGAAAGCAGCATGGTGGTGTAAGGGTTAACGACATTCCACCACGCCTAATCCATAGAGATTTCATAGCATTTAAATAATTGTTACATGGTATTTGTTTTGTTTGTTTTTCGAATTTCGCGCAAAACTACACGAGGGCTATCTGCGCTAGCCGTCCCTAATTTAGCAGTGTAAGACTAGAGGGACTCTTGGGCTACTCTTTTACCAACGAATAGTGGGATTGACCGTCACATTATAACGCCCCACGGCTGAAAGGGGCGAGCATGTTCGGTGTGACGGGGATTCGAACTCGCGACCCTCAGATTGCGAGTTGAGCGCCTTAACCACCTGGCCATGCTAGGCCTATATTACATAGTAATTGTTTTCCCTTAGTTTACAGCTGTTTTTCACAGTTGTATTTCAGTGAGTATCTGGCAGAAAGCTTCAAGGTTCTGCCGTATTTTCTTTATATACTTTTATCTTCAGAATTACTTTAGAGTCCAGCGATTCATAGACGTTTAAATATCTTAATGTTCTTATGCTGAAGGTATCAAACAAGCAGAATTTAAAGTGTCTTTATCGTGAACAAATTCATGGCTCCAATGCTTAAGGTTTAATGTTTTTTTTTAGCTTCATTGGTGATCTTGGATTTCACATAGAGTATTTATGGGGTTAAAGTCACGTGACATTTCACTTAACCCGGGGCAGTTCTTTATTCAGCATTTTCTTTTACTTCATCTCACTCACTTTAACTCACATGGGAGACCTACATGTACTGACAATATTTCTATTTTTATATTAAAGTATTCAACAACCCACACACAAGATCATTTGCCCTATAGTTTTATCTTTAATATATTGTATTACAGTGTATTCTTTAGTTGTATTGTTAATCGTGAAAACTGTCATCAAACATTTCCTCTGCATAATACATTCTGTGTCTAGTGCCTGTGACTTAACTGTCGTAACTTGTTGGGATATAAACAGCCAAACCCAAGATCTTTCAGTTATTAGTGGGCCTAACTTCTCTTCTTTGTTGGCTATCTGCGAGACACCACATCAGTAACTACATATCTACATGTTCCCATAATTAACATTATTAATTTATCTGAAGTAAACATTGATTATTTATCTGTGGAGTATTGTATAAAATCGGTGTCAAAAATTATGCTCCCTTTCTAACAGTTTAAAGGCTCTTTTTAAATTAATTTGTTTTGTTTTTTATTCACATACATTTAAATGTTAGTTTATCACTTTTATTTCAATAAAATAAAATACTTCATTAGGGTAAAGGTTTAAACTCTGCATATTTTAAAAAGTGCACATTATCAAGAATTATTAATTTTACTCTGGATAATAAAACAAACAGTAGCTTCTAAACAATCAATATGAAAACACTTACAAATGTTATATTGGACATAAGAACAGAGGAGTTGATACTTTCAGCATTGAACAAAACCAAGGCTCCATTGGAATCACGGAAAATGAATTCTTTTTCTGAAAATCGAAAATGAATCAAGCATAAGTAAAACTGGAAATCAGTATTACATTTCAAGTTACAGAATGTGCTTCACCTCTTAAACATCAATGCCCTAAGAGCAGAGAACTTGACTAGCATTACAACATCGCAACAGAACTTTGAAAACCATAGATATTGTTAAAACACTTCTTAAACTTAAATTTAATTTTTTTGTGTGCTGTATAAGATATTTATCACATGTTTATGTGTGTAATAGAAGACGTTACTTGTATTTTACCATTGCAGCAGAAAAAAATTGCTATGTTCTACACATCCTTAACTTAGAAAATATTACATTTGTATTCAATAAAGTTTTCAAAATTGTTTATGTGTGTAAGTGTTCTGTAGTTAATTAACATTCTTGTGAACAGGATGTGAATAGTCGTACAACTGCTATTTCGAGCTAAGATTACATATCACCGTGATCATTCCATAGAGCTAATACTTGTTTGGGCACGATTCTTTGTTATTGCTTCTCTTGTGGCGCGAGTCATTCTCAGTTGGAGTGGAAGTACAAAGGTTTGTACAAGATACTATGAGTCGGGAGGTAATCTCCCCTTGGACGTATGTAACAAACAAGATCACTGACCTAGATATCAAGGATTGTAGGATACTACACTAGGACTTTGGCCTGACTTTGCAGTGTGGTATGGACAAAATTTGTTCTGTCTTTAAAAAATTGAATGTGGAAACATGTATAGCAAATTCTGGAAACTTAATGAAGTAGATGTCATTAATTATGTGCAAGTGAGTTTTGCCGTTTCGGTGATCACTTCCAATCGTACGCGTGAAAAGAATTTTTAAATCTAATACATGATTTATTTTGACAATGAAAGGAGTCCTATCTCATTTGTCATATTTACTGGAAAACGAGTTAAAACTGGTATTATTTCGCATGGAAGAGTGAGGTAGGCTTAAATGTTAACGTAAATGGAGGCTAAGTTTAATACGTCGAATTGAAAGTTTATATTTTACTTCATACCAACTTTTGTTGTTAAACGTTTTTAAATCATCAAATTGATACACTGACAAGGATGCTTAGCTAGAGCTCACGAAAATAGACGTTAGCTGTTAGAAAAGTAAAAATAAAAAATTTCATTCACCAGATTAGTTGTAAATATATGAAGTAAGATCTATGTCCGTGTATTTGACAGTTTAAAGAAAGCTATTGCTTTTGTAAAACTTACTCTTAATACCATAATAAAAAAACTCTCTATAAATAGGGAGAGAGAAAAAGAATAGTGTGTACATTACCCCAAAATTATATACATATATACATATATTGCTCTATTACACATGTCCAAACATGTAGCCACTCCTTAGGTACACATATTCTATATCATATACATATTGTATTATTACACATGTTCAGACATGTAGCAGCTTCTTAGGTACTCATATTCTATATCATATATATATTGCTTTGTTACACACGTCCAAACATGTAGCCACTTCTTAGGTATATTGTACCTCATCTTCAGGGGTATGCTGCGTAAATTTGTGTTTGTTCTTCGTTACTTAATTTGTGCTTATAAAGCTGTTAATCTTTACAACATTTGTAGATAGCACAAAGTACTACTTAACTTGACTACCCATCTTCCATATTATACACATATTGCTCTGTTACACTTATACAGACACGTAGCCACTTCTAAGGCACCCATATTCTATATTATACACAAATTGCTCTTTTACACAGGTCCGGACATGTAGCCACTTCTAAGATACCCATATTCATGAAGAACATATTGTACGAACAACACAGGTGATGCCAGTTTACATGAAGGAACTATAGATGTATTACTTTCATAAAGCTAACAAACAGAAACACTTGTAAGGATCCGGCAGCACTTTTAACTACAAAACTTTTTCAAGTATCAAATATTATTCACTGATCTGATTTTCGATATATCATGTGTGGTTCATCACTACAATTATTTTACGTATGGATTCTCAATACATCTTTTCTCAGATTCTCAACATTTTGACATTTAGTGGTCACTACTTGAATTGTATATATTTATATTCACTATATTCTCATGCAGAGTATGCTGGGGGAAGGAGGGCATATAACATGTACAAAGGGTATGTTGATTAGGTTTGGTAGAAGTTTGTTTGTTTGAAGTTAAGTACAAAGCTACACAATGGACTATCTGTGCTCTGCCCACCACTAGTATCGAAACCCGGTTTCTAGCGTTGTAAGTCTGAAGACATACCGTTGTGCCACTGGAGGGGCTTTGGTAAAGGAGAGCAAATGTGGGTTGTCTAATTAATATAAACCCATTTTACCATGGGGAATAATGAAACTAACATATTTATTTTTACACAAGAGGTCTGAAAAGAGAAATAAGCTACTTACTGTGTGAAATTATACGTATACAAGTCTTAGCATTAATTTTAGAATGCAGAAACTTCAAACACATGTTGATGTCTAACGTTACGGAACACATACACAGCAGGTTAGGTATAAATTGGCTCAGACTTTAACTTGTTCCTATTTTTGCGTCTACTAGTTATCAAGGAAAGGTCAATACCCGCACGACGTGAAACTATTACTTGGCATGAGAACTAACTAACAATAGACTTATTGAGATATATATATATATATATGTTCTGTACTTGTGAAGGAAATCTACTTTCCGAAACACAAAGACGTTAGTAACATTTTTGGACAAATTAGGAAACAGAAATGAGCATTAAAAAAGAAAAACTATGAAACCCACCTGCAAAATAAGCATTCTGTACAAAATGTATTTTACGACAAAGGGTAACATCAACAAAACATGATTAATGTACAGAAACTTCTTCCACATATTTGTTCGTTTGTTTTAGCACAAAACTACCCAATGGGCTAGGGTACCCAAATGAAACCATACATTCTAAGTTTTATAAGTAAAGACGTAAAATAAAGTATAGTTAATTAGCTACACTAATGGCCAGGTTGGTTTTGAGTTTGGCTCTAAGTACATAGCTTACTAATCTGATCGGAGGCTATTATTATCTGCGCTCAGTCTACAGCGGAAATCAAACTTCTGATTTTAGCGTTGTAGGTCCGTAAACTTACTGCTGACACAACGGGGGTCATGTAATACCCATGAGATGTCATTAACAGATTTAAACCAGACAAATAATTATCCAACGTTTTACAATATCAACATTTGACATTTTAAATTATGTTAATTATCTGAAGGTTAAATACGGGCATACGTGTACAGTTAAAATACTTTGCTAAATAGCTAGGGTTTAATAGTCAATTCTTTCACGTAACACTGTTTTTGTATAATCTACATTTATAATTCACTTGCTTAACCTTGATTAATGGCAGAAGACACTGTACTTTTGCATGCTTACATTTATTTTTTGCTTGCTTGTCCTTAACTAATATCAAAAACCATTACTACTGCTTGATGGAGTTTTTTAGGTACTTTTCGATCACAAATAAAGTAACCTAAAATAATTTAGGTGTTTGAATAATGTTAGAGCTTGTGCCTAAATCATTATTCCATATTAAATATCAGACCAAGTATTTAATGTATTTTGTATTACAGATGTCTTTTTTTTCTCACCAAAGATAAGATTGAAATATATTGATATATGTAATCACTAATAATTCTGTATAATTTTAGTTGTACACAAAATGAAACCACACTTTCAATTAACTATAATTTACCTGATCTTTTTTAATTGTATATTATTTTCTGCAGATTTATAAGAGTCGTAAGGTAAAATGTAGGTAGAAAGTGGTTTTCGTCATTATGATAAGAAACCTTCAGACTCACCCGTTAACCACGATCCATTATATCTCCTTGGTGAGAAGCTCCCGTTGAAAATCTCTACCAAGTTGAGTCTTTCATTGTTGACTAGGGAATCTTCGTCACCTAAACCAATATATAGTCATTAATACAGGGGATTACACGATATTACTTTAATTTTCAAGGTAATTCGGAGATTTTAAAAATCAGTAAAATCGTATTATTTGATAAACACATTGTTGTAAATACGAAATATAATATAAATATACGTTTTGACTGTATTAACCTTAAAATCAAAATAACAATACAATCAAAAGTTGTAGAAATTTGTACCTTACCTTCATTCATGCCTACAATTGCGATATAGCATTCCTGCGCCCATTGCTTATTCATATTCCAAATTTAATTAGACAGGTATACTACAATTATAGTATTTTTGTAAATCTAACTGACAATATTTTCGTTTAACGTTCTGTCTTCCTAAGTAATATCACTGATATGTTTTTATTGTGTTTTTTTAAATTTAGTTCTTAAATGTTTTAAATTCATCAACAATTGAGATTCAGAATAATGGAAACATTTCTATCCACAGAAATTCATGTTATGTTTTAACTCACTTTGTTTGTATGTTTATTTCAGAGCAAAACCACGGATTTTAGTGTTGTAAGTCAGTAGACCTTCCGCTGTCCCACTGGGGGACTTTTCAATCACTAAAGGTTGTTTAATATGCGATTAAGTTAACGTATCGCCATGGGCGGTGTGCCTAGTACTTACTCTGTCACAGCAAGACTTATACAGAGGGTTTAGTACGTTATATTAACACAATTTTGGAGCCTCTCCATGTTGTTATAGACCATGTTGCCCCGCCAGGTCAAGCTCTATCTGACGACCGCACATCTTGATCATAGCCCTACAACGTATTTTCCATTGCTAAAGGCTTCGTCGTGAATCTTTCATGTCCAAAACACATATTTATCCATGTATTGCACGAGGACACTGGTTTCTCAATGTCATTTTCAACAATCTGATCTCACAGAAAACCATATGACCAGCATGTGTTCGTATATAAAAACATGAATACCTGTTGCATTCACCAGCTGCATGAGGTATGAACGAGATTAATGACTGGAAGCCTTATTCAGGTGAACACATACCTTGTTAGCCTCGTTTTCAAAGGAGATCCTTCTTGTTTATGTAACATACATTGCCTGGGACGCTTTTACAACTGACTTTTGTGTTCTTGGTTTCACCCCTGATACTAGACGCCAAAATTTGCTTATGAAAGCTGGAATATGACTTGCTGCAGGTCTTTTTCTGGGCGGTTCTATAACCCCAAGTTGATCCATATTCCTCTGTTTTTCAATGTCATTAAGTACAAAGAATATCCTAATATTGGAAATTCTGAGTTCCCGATTTGAACATTTCCTTTTGATCTGAGTGTATGAATATGTTTCTTCGGAAAGGACTGTTATATATCCTCACAAAAACGTTATATTTCTGTGGCATCACACTAGCTACCAAGTGCTAAACAATATTAAAATGTAGTTTTGACACATGCAATTCCACTGCAAATTTGTATCAGCCGTAGTTAACATGTGACTTGGTAATATGCATATTAAAAATCTTTTTATCCTAACGTACCCTCTCCTGGACAACTTATGTGTTTGTTTCCAAATAAGCTATATAGCAAATGCCTTAATTCTCTTATACCAAACTATTAGAAATAAATATAATTTAGTGTATTTCCACAAAATACTTTTTAGATAACAAGTTTTAAAGTAAAACCTTTTAACAAATTATGTTTACATTACATATGATATCTATCTTATTTCACCATAATGTGCAAAATCTTGAGTAAAACAGTGGTTTTGAAGAACAGCTCATATACTTAACTACTAGGGTTATAAGTATACCTCTTTTTTTGTTATACTATCACTTGTTTAAAAATGTATATTTCTGAGCAACCACTTAGCCACTAACAATTAAAAATAAAAACAAAATCAGTTATTAATAAAATGAAATCGTTTGAGGTCATACAAATACAAACTAGTAATTAATGTTTAATGAAAAAAAACACAAAAAAAACATTTTATATATCAGAGTGTCGAGTATACTTACTTCTAAATGTTCACGTTTTCCTACAGCACAAGTTCCCTAGTTAATTAATTAATATCTTATTAAAATTAAGGTGAGATTACCAAATTAAAAAAAAAAAACACTCACCAGGTGTTAGAAGAACAACGGCTGTCACTATCAAAGCACACACTATTAGTATAACTAGTAGAGCAATTCCGATGCCTCGCCAGTTGCGTTCATCCTGTCCAGAGGATACAAGTTCCTACAAGATTGAAATAGCATTATACATACCAATGATGCTATATTTTCCTTTTCTTTCTCTGATTTAAGAGGCTGTTGTTTTATACGTCTCAACATCAGAATCCCTACACAGTTTGACGTACTCAAATAAATCGTATTTCTCTCGGTTAAAGAAAGTCATATTATTTTCTGTAATTCGCTGGAATCCATGAATTCAGTTAAAAACAAAACTATTTACGCTACAACTGTTTGTAATACTAAGTATGCATTTCTATTTATTTCCAGCCCAAAGACAGAATTCGTACACTTCAACGCTCATGCAGTGCGTTTTATATCTGTTTGACTTCTTTGTGAACAAGTTAGGTAGGATCAACAATTTGTTGGTTGCCTCTCTACATGTAACTATGTTGTTGTAAGCTATGTTTTTAACGCTATAATTCAAATGTTAGCTAGAAGGAGCTGTGTATCTTAACAAGAGACGTTATTATCAGAAGGTTTAATAAGATAAGCCTAGAACATCTAGAAACCTCTAAGGATATGACGTAGTGTCTAGTACATTCGACGCTAGATTATAAATACGAGATAGTTGTGACGAGGTTTTTTGCTCAAGGTAGATAGTTGAAGCAGTCAGTATGATTTTGTGAATTACTTAATCTACGTTTGCTACCGCACATATAGAGTTGCGTTGTACAAGTAAGTTGACTGGTTTTATGTTAGTCATCGACAATTGTAACGTAGGCCTACACTAAGCCACGACAGCGTAGAAGTACAAAATCTTATATAAATATTGAAGGAGGAAACAAAGTAATTTGTTCTCGTAACATGGACTGAACATTGAAATATTTTCATCAGATAATTTAAAAGAACCCGCCAATGAAAACCAGCGTTAGAACAATATAT